TGGTCTCCAAAGCCAGGCATCTGGTGATTAGAGTTCATGGGTCACCATGAAAATCTCTGGGAAAAGTATATAATTTTCTACAAAGAGAACCCTTTAATTATCTATCCGAAACTGACCTTTCCTTGTTTTGAGGAGGGGGGAGAGGAAGGCAGTGTAACAACAAAGCAAAGTAGACAAAAAGAAAGCTAACTACCTAACATTTTGTCTACCTGAACATATTCAGACATAAAAGTGCATAAATATGTCCTGGAATATATGTGTACATAATACTTGGCTATTCAAGTGGACTCATACCCATATTCACTTCTACCTTTCCTTCAAAAAAAATTACTGGGTAAAATAAGAGATAATGTGAGTAAACTCACTAGATTGGGGGCAGTAGCCATTACGATTTTCCAGGTGGTTTTTATAAGATATACTCGACACCTCCGAATCAAACCTAAGGTCAAATGGAAGAGCACTAAATAGGAAATGGATCTCAAGTAGTTTTCGACCTTGACTCCACACTGCAACCACCTGGGGAATTTAAAAAATACTGCCACCTGGCTCCCACCCCTAGAGATCCTCAGATAATTGCCTAGGGTGCGGCGCGGGCATCCAGAGATTTAAAAGGCCCCCAGGTGATTTTTCACTCACTGCCAAGATTGAGAAGCAATGATCTGAACCAGTGATGCTCCAGCACACGACCTCAATAATCGGTTCAACAACATAACCGTATGGCCAAGCAGAGAGCTATATTCAACTGAACCCACCAGGACTGCGGGGTGTACTAATTTAGAGCATCTACCATGAACAGAAACCAATCCGGGAGGAATGCAGGAAGCAGGCAACCAGGCCCTGCTTGGTGTCTCTGCCACACTAAAGAGTCTGGTCAGGAGCTTCTGGGAAAGAGGCCTGGATTAAAATCTTGAAAAGCAGCCCGGTATATTTACTGTAGTCAATTATGCACATTACTGCCACCAAAACAGGCCTTGTGTTGGGTTGTGGGAACACTAAAAGAAGGGGGGGGGGTTCCTTCCAGAACTTCACCTTGGAATTTAAACTCTTTCTAGAATATAGCTTCTTTTCTACTTTAAACGGTGTCAGGGATACAAGTTTTATACGTGGAAGGTTATGCCATAGTAAGTAGTAATGCTTCTGTTTACCAGAAAGCCAACTCCAAAAAGGAGGCTTTAATAGCATTAAAAAAGGCACAAAAGAAATTTTAACATATCCCAAATCTCAATACTCTATACTTAAATATACACAGTTTTACTAACAATGCTTGCAAAGCCCAGTTCACATATACCAAATGCATTTCACTCGGCTTCCTTTCTGCTTAGTTTTGCATCCCTACGTTCATCTGCACTATCCGGTCAGGTGTGTCCATTGTCGGCACTTTCTCACAATTCTCTCTCACAGCTGCTTCTGTAGGAGCTTTCAAGGATGAGGAACTGCTGAGTGCAGTGAATTCTTGTCAAAAATATATTACTCTTCAAATCAAAATTCAAAGTGGCACTTATTAAAAGAAAATCTTATAGATTTTCTCAACTGGCTATTTCTCAAATAAAGATACTAAGGAGAACGGTAAACAAATAGAGAAAAACCATCTGATGCCATTTAAATTTGTGAACTATAAGTCAGAGCATTTTCAAGAGTTAATGAAGAGGGGACTTCGCTGACAGTCCAGTGGTTAAGGATCCGAGCTTCCAGTGCAGGGTAAGCAGGTTCGATCCCTGGTCGGGGAACCAAGATCCCATGTCCTGCATGGCACAGCCAAAAATAAATAAAATAAAATGTGATATGGTTTAAAACAAATTTTTTTTAAAAGAGTTAATGAAGAGGAAGAAAGCACTGACCCACTGAAGAGCTAGACAAACTTTAAAGCTTGATTTTCTATGGATAAAGAAGATGTGATTATCTATCTACATATTATATATATATATCTACACACACACACACACACACACACACACACACAATGGAATACTACTCAGCCATAAAAAAGAACGAAATAATGCCATTTGCAGCAACATGGATGCAACTAGAGATTATCATACTAAGTGAAGTAAGTCAGAAAGAGAAAGACAAATACCATATGATAGCACTTATATGTGAAATCTATAATATACCACAAATGAACCTATCTACAAAACAGAAACAGACTCACAAAGAGAAGAGACTTGTGGTTGCCAAGGGGTGGGGTTGGGGAGGGATGGACTGCGGGTTTGGGGTTAGTAGATGCAAACGATTACATGTAGAATGGATAAACAAGGTCCTACTGTATAGCACTGGGAACTATATTCAATATCATTGGGATAAACCATAATGGAAAAGAACATAAAAAAGAATGTATATATGTGTATACTGAGTGTGCTGTACAGCAGAAATTAACACATTGTAAATCAACTATACTTCAATAAAAATTTTTTAAAAATGGATTTTCTAGAAAAAAGTAAGCCTGAACATCATACACATTTAGCATATAGAACCTTAGACCATGCTCAGTGATTAAATGTCCAAAGACATTATCAAGACTTTTTACAAAGCTCTGCAAACACACTTCAGTAACTGAGAACAGATACTAAGTACCGGGTTTGACAACATAAATTCTGCCAACAAAGAGTAATCCAGACAATAAAACAAATTATACCATCAATATTTCTAGCTTCCTAACTGCAAAAAACACCAAAAAAGTTATTTCCAAATTCTGGAAAGCTGTATCTCAAGGGATTAGAAGACAGACATTAAAGAGGAGAAGAGAATTTGGATTGGCATGGGATGTGGTGGATGACAGCACTTCTGTTCATAATCAACTTCAGAATGCAGACTCCACAAGAAATAAATACTATGGGGATAAAAAAGAATAAAGAAGCCCATGACATTAGAGCCAAATAAAAACTCCACATTATACCCGGGCTCTGGGAGCAACTCTACCTCCACAAGTTTTCCTAGTTTAAGTGAGCATCATTTAGCGTCCCTAAGGGCACTATTTTACTTTGAGGCGATTACATTGCTTTACTAAAAGAACTTGGTGAAATGGCTAAAAAGCAAAACTAAACATAACAACATCAAGTGTTGGCAAGGATGCAGAGCAAGTAAGACTCGCATACATTGCTTGTAGGAATGCAAGATTGCACAGCCATTCCAGAGAACAGTTCATCAGTTTCTTATAAACATACACTTACATATGAGTCAGCAATTCCACTCCCAGGTATTGCCCTTAGATAAATAAGAAAAACCTGTACATAAATGTTTACAGCAGCATTACTTATATCACCAAAGCCTGGAAATAACCCAATGTTTCTCAATGGGTGGATGGATTAATCTGTGGGACTTCCTTACAACTGGCAAACTGCCACCAATAAATACTGATACACAAAACGCGTCTGAATCTCAAATGCATTATATGCTGAGTGAAAAAAATTCAGCCTCAAAAGTCTATGCGAGAAGATGTGGTACATATATACAATGGAACATTACTCAGCCAAAAGGAATGAAATTGGGTCATCTGCAGAGACGTGGATGGACCTAGAGTCTGTCATACAGAGTGAAAGTCAGAAAGAGAAAAGCAGATACCGTATGCTAACACATATACATGGAATCTAGAAAAATGGTACAGATGAACCAGTTTGCAAGGCAGAAACAGAGGCACAGATGTAGAGAACAAACATGGACACCAAGGTGGGGAAAGCTGGGGGGGGGGGTATGAACTGGGAGATTGGGATTGACATGTATACACTAATATGGATAAAATAGATAACTAATAAGAACCTGCTGTATAAAAAAAATTAAATTTAAATAAGTCTATGTGTATGATTCCACTTTTATGACACTCTGGAAGAGGCAGAACTAGGATGGTGAACAGATCAGTGGTTGCCAGGCATTAAGGATAGGAGGACATGACTGCAGAGGGGTGGCATGAGGGAATTCTCTGGGGCAAGAGAACTCTTCCGGATCTTTATCATAGCGGTGGTTACATGACTATACATTCGACAAAACAATGAATTGTACACCCCCCCAAAGCAGTAAACTGTATGCAAATTAAAAAGTTTTAATTAGAAAAATTTCAAAGGGGGACTTTCCTGGTGGCACAGTGGTTAAGAATCCACCTGCCAATGCAGGGGACATGGGTTCGAGCCCTGGTCCGGGAAGATCCCACATGCCGCGGAGCAACTAAGCCTTCGAGCCACAACTACAGAGCCCACATGCCACAACTACTGAAGCCCACGTGCCTAGAGCCCGTGCTCCGGAACAAGAGAAGCCACTGCAGTGAGAAGGCTGTGCACCGCAACGAAGAATAGCCCCCACTCACCGCAACTCGAGAAAGCCCGCGTGCAGCAACGAAGACCCAGCACAGCCAATAAATAATAAATAAATAAATTTTAAAAAGAAAAATTTCAAGGATTTGACATTTTTTCCTTTCACCAGTGAACTTTATGTAGGGTCTTTTAAATTAGCTACCTTTACCTTCCAACTGCTAGTCTATTAATCACATAATCTGCTACATGCCCTGAAATGCCTCTTCTGGGGGTGATCAGTGACTACTCGGTAACCACGCCAATGGTTTTTTTTTTTTTCCTCTTCACTCTCTGAATCCTCAACCTCCTTGTCCCTCTCCCTTGGCAGGTATGGCATTGCTCAATTACGCTTTTCCTGACTTTCTGGCTTTTCCACCTTCTTTGCTGGTTCTTCCTCCTCCTGTGCTTGAAGTGTTGTCTCATCCCCTTTCCATTTTTCTTTCAAAACTCTCCTCACCCTCATGGCTTCAATCACGTTCCCCTTATGGAATGAATCCCAGAGTCCCAACCTGTTTTTCTCCTTCTTCCCATCCTTCCATGTGCCCATTAGACATTTCTACTTACACGTCCCCCTTGCATCTCAAATCTCCATGTTTAAAGCAGAGATTTTTCCAGTTCTCCTACCAAAACCAGGTCCTCCTCATGACTATCTTCACGCCACCCTTAAACCAATGAGCCAAACTTAAACCTGGTGTATAATATTATATGTCAACTTTTTACCTGCATCCTTTGACACATGCCTCTGTAGAATCTTGAATTAATCATTCTCTTCCCATTTCCACTGCCATGCCATAGTGCTGGCCCAACGCCTGCCCAGAAGACTTCTGCAGGAACTTCAAAGCCAGTCCGTATGTAGCTGAATGTGTCCTGCTTAAATCCCTCCTCTAGTCTACACTGCTACTTCAAAATGAGGATCACATGGGTAGAATACCGATCACCTCGCTATCACCAGAGATTTGGCTAATCTGCCTGGTTATGCCTTATGTTCCTCATACACTCTCCCCTTCCCCCGCCCCGTGATACCCTTCCCAAAGCAGCAAAAATCAATCAAGGGAATGACTTTCCTAGATGAAGGGACCATGCATTCCTAAAAGGCACAGCTGAGCTCTTCTGCTAGACTTGGCAATCAAGCTTTCAAGATCCATGGGTAGAGAATTGCCTAATTTATCGTACTTTATTAAAGATATGTTATCCTCAGGAATCATCAACATTTCCTCACTGCCTGCAGAATCATGTACTAACCTCTTAAGCTTGATCACTCCACAATTTGGCCTCAATGTGCCTTCATTCCTAATCCACCTTCTAGACTCTTTCATAATGAGCCTCACACAGCTCAATATGACCAAAACTTTGCTCTTTTCCACATCTGCACCTTTATATTTCTCTTTCCTCCATTCAACTTTATATGTCATTTACCCATTTAAAAAATTTAAATTACTATGCCCGGTATGTTTTCCATGATGAAAGACCACAGCTGGAAGTAATTCTTTCTTCACTTAACTCCTCATAGCCTGCAATTATTTGTTTGTGAGTGATGTTTTCCTTTTGAAATCCACGGACCATGTCTTCATCAACCTTTCAGCCACCATAAAACTTTATAGAAGGTAAATATTTCTTGGTCAAATTATGCTAAGCCTCAATATTTTCAATTTTTATAACAATATAATGAGACCCGAGTTTTAAAAAATAACCCATTTCAAATGATTTTCTGTCATGCACCAGGAGGCAAAGATGTTATTTTTTTTTTTTAAGAGAACATGCCAATACGAATTAGTGTTTCATACACATGCCTAACTAATGATATCCAATAAATGCACTCTCCTGAGCACAAATGCCTCATCTAATAATACTTTCCTCCTACTTCGCAAGATGCAAAGGTAAGAGCCAGCCAAAATATAACAGGAAAAAAGTTATCTATTCACTTGGAATGAAGCATTAATAGCTTTAGGACGTGACTTTCAAAACAATGAGTTTAATAACAAATTGTAGTCTGAACCCCATCTAACAATTTTTATTTGCAGATATTTGTAGACCCTGAAATCTAATACCTTAAATATCACTTTTTAATTTGGAAAAATGCAGTGAAGGGTCATGATCCAGATCACAAAAAAGGCCCATGTTGTTCCACTGCACTGCCTGCTAAAGAGAGAAAAAGCCCAGTTCCAGGTTCTATGTCATTTTCCCCAAAGGAATAGCAACAGAATTCACAGATTATAGGTATTAACTTATTCCCTGTGCATGAAAGTGTGCTCTTATGAGTTAGTCAAAAGCAGCTTTAACTTTGGTCTTAATTCAGTAGGCTTTTTAAAAGGGAGTTATTAAATTGAGAAATTACCTCTGCACACTTTCACAGCTCTTGGCACTAGCATAAGGTTAAGTACACAAAGCCTGGGCAGAGGCAATTTTGTGAATTTCAATCTGTTACTCAAAATAATAATTAAAAAAGGACTTGACATCCTCTAGTGGTGAAATTGAAAACTTGTTTCCAAGTCAATTATTCTTCTCAGTTCTTGCCTACCTTTTGTTATTGAAATATATGTGGAAAGAACTGTTCATTCTCAAGAAAAATTTAAAAAATCACCGTAAAGAATGTGACTTGACTACCTTTGAGTAGAAAATATATACTGACAGAAATAGCTTTTAAATGTTGAAAGAAATATGATTTTTATATGCTACCTTTCAATATTCTTAACAAATGTCTCATTTTATAGGTCGTATACTGCCAATTTTCAACCCATCCTTGATACACATACATACATATGTATATGATTATGAACACATTACAGGTGTTATTCTTTTTATTTTTTTGTGGTACGCGGGCCTCTCACTGTTGTGGCCTCTCCCGTTGTGGAGCACAGGCTCCGGACGGGCAGGCTCAGCGGCCATGGCTCACAGGCCTAGCCACTCCGTGGCATGTGGGATCTTCCCGGACCGGGGCATGAACCCATGTCCCCTGCATCGGCAGGCGGACTCTCAACCACTGCGCCACCAGGGAAGCCCTACAGGTGTTATTTTTATAATCACCTGAGATTCTAAACTAAATTGCCCTAAAATTAGACCACAGTCTTTGCACATGGACAGAAAACCTAAGAGAGACATTTAAGAATGGGTCCTACCACCTAACAACCAGTTCTAAAAAGGGAATAAAATGAATCCCTCAACAAATGTTGCCATTTGAGGTGGCAATTTTCACCTGTTGATGGTAATAAAAGACAGAAATCCGCACCCCACCCCCAAAAAACCCACCTCAATACAATCCTGTAATTGTTAAAAAAAATAATGACTTGCAGCATTTGAATGTTATAATGTGCAATATGTCCATAAGAATGAAGTACTACATTGAAGTCTGATACTCAGGTATAGGTCACATGTCTTAAATATATGGAAAACTTTGTAAGTTGTTAAAATTCAAGCAGTCCTCACTTGTACACTCAAAATATCGCTACCTAGACTTAAATATATATATATTTTTCACCTTTCTTCTTTCTTTGACACCTGCTCACACAGGTGCTCTGAGCACGAAAAACCTTAATAGTAATCCAGGGTTAGAAAAATAGGAAAAAGATGTGAGCCGGAAATAAGTTTTAGTTAAATTATAAAGTACAATTATTCGAAAGACCATTTATAAAATTTGTCCCTTGGAAACTGGAGTTTCTAGGTAGAGATGTGGAAGAATTGTTTTCTATGAAGGAGACGGCAGCCAATTAAATTGCTCTCTTCATAAAGAAAATATTTCACTGACAGCCACAGGGTTGATTTGTAGGTTAATTGTTAGAAGCATGACCAGTTCGTTAGTTAACATGCTTGGGCACTGAATAAGCTAGTTTGTAGTTCACTTACATCTGAACAACTTGTTCACGTGCAGATTCTAGGAAGTGTTTATTTATTTATTTGAGCAAAAACTACTGTGTACAGAAGCAGGTTTTTTTTTTTTCTTTGTGGGGATTAGGCACCAAACCATTTATATTCTCAATGAGGATGCTGCCCTCCTGCTGCCCTCTCTTGGGGGACCGTAACCCTAAGCACCCGGCTTCTCAAGTTCCCTAAAGCAATTACAAAGGCACGTCCTCTAAGCCACCCGTTCCCACCCCAAACGAAAATAATGACCTGCCAACCTTTCAAACATTTTAAGACAAGATAAACCACCCTACAGGAAATAGCGTGACTTCAAAGTAAACAAGTTCAAGATTCCTTGTCTTAACCTCAGGTATTTTCGCTGGAGGGATTAAGTCTTTAGTCTTTAGGCGCCCAAACTCTACCTAGCAGAACAGATACACCATTTGCAAATACTCTTATAGCTTTCTTGGACCTTTCACATAAAAATAAGCATACCTTCTAAGTCAATACCTCTTTTTTGAGGGTGGGGGAAGTCTTACATTTAGGTAACAATTGTTTCCAGTTATGTATAAGCAGAAAACACAACACAGGGAGCCTGCAATTTGAATGTCTTTTTAAAATAAGAAACTGCCTCACCGCCCCCATCCCAAGTGTAGGAAGGTACCAGAAACAGTTTACTGGCCAAGAATAGAAGAGGGGAGTAGGAGACAGGAGTGGATCTGCAAGAAAAAACTATCGCTAGGGGGAAAATCGCCTGCATATAGTAAAATGGGGGAGGGGAGGACTTAATGCTCTTGGAGTTGTGAGCTCCTGCCCCTGCCTCTGGCGTGGAAGTTGGGAAGAGGGGGTTCCTCGACACAGCGCCCTGATGAGCCGAGCCAACGTTCCTGCCTTGGGTTGGTGCACGGACTACAAACATGAACGCCGAGGACCCTTGTTTCAAGTCAACGAATCTCTGAGCCCTCCCCAGCACCTGCAGGCCCCCATCACCCTGCAACCAGCCCCTGCCTCGCGACCCCACATCTCAGAACTCTCGTGAGCCGGTCGTTAACTGCGGACCCCAGGGCAGCGGGCGGGCGCTGCTCACGCGCTACCATCGCGCCGGGCTACCACGGCACCCGGTGCGCCGGTTAAGGCCGGAGAGTTTGCGCAGAAAATGGTAATCCTGCTAGCCGTACCTGGCCGAGGATTATTCCGGCTGACGGTTTGGTTTGGGGGATACGATTTTCCCATTCAATTGAATCAGACCCAGCCCGGCAGGTGGGAGACGAGCGGCCAGCGTCTCTCCACTTCCTCCTCCCGCCCGCGCTTCCACCTGTTTGGGGTAAGTCGAGCTGGAGCGCAAGAGGGGCGGCCGGCACTGCAGCCGGGCGCCGGCGAACTTGGGCGCCGGGGCCGAGCAGCCGACGCGCGGAGGCGGAGGGCAAGCGGGCTCCGAGCCGGGGTACGCGGCCCGCCGAGCTGGCCTTTCTGGGCCGCAGCCGGGCGGGGGAGGGGAGCGCCGGCGCCCCGCGCGAGTCCCTCCCCCCACCCCCCTCCCGCCTCAGGCCGGCTCGCTCTTCCCGGCCCGAGCCCGCCGGACCACCACCTGCCCCCGCAGCTCAGTCACCTGTTTCGCTCTGCGCAGCGCCATCGCCGCCCGTGTGGCCGTCGCCGCCAGCTCTCAGGTCCGCCATGGTGCTCCGATGACGCTCCGGGAGAGCCGCTCCGCCCTCTTCCTCGGCTTGGCTCCCGCCGGCCAACCCCCCTGCCGGGCCCCCGGCCCAGACAGGTGAACGCCGTCAGGGAAGGGCGGAGGAAGGAAGGAGCGAGCGCTCGCGAGCCCGAGGCGGCCTGGGCCCGGCGCGCGGGCGCGCCCCCTCGTGGGCAGGTGCGGCGTGGCAGCCACTCCGACCCACGCGGCTGGGTTTCCGCAACCAGAGAGCGGGCGGAGCCAGGCACCTGGGCCTCGAGCTTCAGGCCCCGGCTGCCCGCACCTCGAGGTCTGGAGGCGGGTCGGCGACGCTTGGTGGCGCTATGAACTGGGACGGTCTGAGGATCAGTCAAAGTGAGGCGAGAGCCTGCGGACGCTCTATTCGTCTCTGAGCTCTGAAGCAGCCAGGTCAATGTTACTTTCGCCAGGACTGGCGTTCGTGCTGACAGCCGCCAAAGAGTATGATGCCACGTGGAAAGCCGAAGTACACGAGCTGGATTCCACACTGCGGTCCGGTCTCCATTCTGCACTTTAGGACGCCATTGTTGATGACCTGTCTTTTCACCAGGCTTCTATATCTGATGAACCCCAGGGCATACAGCTTAATGAAACTTGTGCCCAGTGATGTGGCTTTTCTTATTCTTGATTTCCGGTTAGCAACTACCCTGTGACTCCTGTCTTGCTCCGGAAGACCAGGAAAAAAAGTTTCTTTTTTTAAAGAAACATTATTAGCTGCGGAGAAACCAATTTCTGCTCTAATAAGCAAATAAACGTTAAGCAACAAAATGCTGAGAAAAGAAAAGTAGCCTGTATAAATGGAAACATAAAGGAACAAAACTGAGGAGCGCTCAGTTCTGCCTCGTTACGCAGAGATGTACTCCCACAGACTCGGTCGGCTGAACACAAACGGCAAGCTCCCAACAGTTTTCAACCCTTTCAAGGACTTCAGCAGAATCTAGTGGACACCCAAGCGTGCCTGAGAACGGTGTTGGATTTCTCGCTAGGGTGACAATTCTTACCATCCTTGCATGCACATCCTGCCACTCTGAGCCCAGCAGTGGACTGGTTTCGTTTGGTTTACTGGGTCACTGGCTGACTAGGTAGAGGTTTTGCTTAAGGGACACTTGTGCTGTGGTTTGTAGTCATGGATTTTCCCTTAGTGCCATTTCTACAGTGGACAAGGCAAACTGATCATTTAGCAATATGAGCTTCCTAAATCACTTTCAAATAACTCTTATCACACTTCTAACCGATAAAAATAAAACACCAGGTGGGTGGAAGTAGTTTCAGACCTCAGCTTGGGCCCAAGCAAAGATATATTTTACTACATTGTCACCAGAGTTTAAGACACTTTTCCTGTGAACATCAGAAAGACCCCCTAAGCTGAATTTTGAGAGTTGAATTCTCTGGAAGAACCTTGGGAAAAGGAGGTGATTTGTTTTCAAAAGGAGGTGTTTGTTTTCTGCTATACCATTTACTGAAGTAAACCAATGAGTTCTTTCTTTGACTCCCCACCCCCCAAAATATCGAAGACTAATTGGTGTTTTTATTTGTATGCGTGTTTGGTTTTTGTGTGTGCTTATCCCTTCTCTCATTCTTTTGATAACTTATGTTTCAGTTTGTCACAAGTTACACAAAAATAAATGCAATAAGAAACGCACCAAAATTCTTCACTTGGGCCCTGTACAGACTTTGCATTCCAAACCTCACGCGGTGTCTGTAACAGGGTGGACTGTTGCGTGAATGCAGGAATGGATGACGTCTGTTAAATGTCACACACCACCACGTTGTGCTTTCTGTTGTCCTTTACTTAGAACATGGAAGCCATCTGTCCTGAGCTCTCACATCCATCTCGGAATCTCACGGAATCATCATGATTCCCTTTCCTGGGGAAGAGCTGAACTTCCTGATGCCACCTCCTCCGCTCCTGCCTCCTTTGAAACCTCATCCCTCCCTCCTCCCTACTCCTCAAGTGCCTCCATTCAAGGCGCTCTGCCCCCAACAAATACATTTAGGAGTCTTTGATTCAGAACATTTCTTCCTTTGACTTCCACCCTCCCAATCTCTTGTCATACATTTTGTTCACCAAAGGGTATACATGTGTGGACTCCAGTACCATCATCAGCGTATCATCTTTGTTTAACCAGCTGTGGTCTTTCTTACCTGTCTATAAAAACTTTCTAGGTCACAAAATCAAATAACCTGTTATTCTTTTTTAATCCGTCATTCCCTTAGACGTTCTGCAGCACTCGACCCTGATCGTCTTCCTCGTGACCTACACCACTGGCCTGGTTTTTTTTACATTCCTCTGTGACCAGTTCTTTTGTCCTTTTGGGGACTTAAACTCCTCCTCCTTCTCGACTTGTCCCCAAACTTCCCTCCTCCCCAAATCTTAGGCCATAACCTTTCTGCTCTACTCTGTTTCTCACAGTCCTCATTTACTATTATCTCCATCCAAGTGACTCCTACATCCAGAATCAATGCTCTTGACCTCAGTCCTGACTTCCACCCATACATTCTCAATGGTCTCCGCACATTCTAGCACGATGCCCTGCCATTCATTCAACATGTCCCAGACCAGCACCGCCCCAAACTTGCCTATTTTTGAATCCTTCTCTCACTCACATAGGCTTAACATCTATCCTTTAGCTTTCATTGTCATCACTGCCCAAATCCGTGTTTCCAAATCTTGTCAATTCATTGTTCTGATTCCACCTTCTCAATTCCTATTGCTCTAACTCTTACTAGACCCTCATTCACATCTGAAACAGTCTCTGAACTGCTCTGTTCAATTTCCGTTCCCCCTAATTTACCCAACACAACTTCACCAGGTTAATCTTCTAATACACAGCTACTTTACACACACCCACTCCCTTGCTCAAAAAAAACTGAGTCCCCGTTTCTACATAATTAAATACTAACTTCACTTCCCTCCCTGACCACCCCCCAATCATATCCTGAGCTCTCTCCTATCCCATTTTCCACTTCTCATCTCTATAATTTATATTTCCAGCCAAGTAAGAATTTGAATGAGTTAAAATTTTTGTGTGCTTTAATGCAATATAAAAGTTGTTCACTTTCTCTAGAACACCTTGAAAATCTCTTTCTGCCTTTGTTCTTGGAGCTCTTTGCCCAGAGCGACTTCTCCAGTCCTGACTAATTTAATAATTCCTTCCTTCCAAGGCCTCCTCAGTGAAGCCTGTTCCACCTGCCCAGGCTCCCAGCAAGCCTGTCCTCTGAACCTGTCCAGGGCCTTCTGAGCTTGCCACTTGTCCAGCCTTTAATACAGACTAGATGTGATTTGTTACTGCAAACCTGTCTCTTCAACCTGATACGAATTACGTGGTGGCAGGGACTTTGTCTTCTCTTTCTCTATAGATGTCCGTAAAGTCTGGAGCCATCAGTTATTTGATTTGTTGACAGACTGCAGATGTCCTTGATGACACACGTGCCTTACCTGCATTCTGAATTTGATGGGCTTCACGTATCTCTCTCCTGCTGCTACAGCGCCTCACACAGAGTAAGCATTCCAGTGGGTTCGCAGTGATTCCGCACTGTCACACTGTTTCATGTGACGGCTTGGGAATGAATGAAACAAAATATGCAATGACAGAATTGGGAGAGAGAGGTCAAAATGTGGTTAAAAAGAAACATTGGATCTACCTTTCCCAGCAAATTCCAGTTTTGTTTCTCTAATGAGACTGCCGCCAGCACCCATGCATAACTGTTTTGTTACAAACCGTCTTTCTGGGTTCAGCTCTGGACCTTCACTTCTCTGTAAAGCCTTTCTTGACCCCCTCTGGCAGTTAGATGTAACTATAGCACTTACTACATGTACTGTTCTTTTATTGTCTTGATTCCACGTCTGACAGTGAGCTTCAGGGCCAAGAACTGTGTCTTCTTCAGGCACAGGATGCAGTACCCAGTACGTATTTACTAAGTACTTTGGAATGAATAATGAGGTAACACTAGCAGGCGGCATCGCAGTGTTCACTACCTGCTAAGCATTGCACTGTGCACCTCACCTGCATTATTTTATTTAAATCTCACCACAATCCCATGTTATTTCCCCCGTTTCAAATGAGGAAACTGAGACTTGGAGAGGTTAATTAGTTTGCCCAAGGTCACCAGTAAGTGGTCGTTTTGCTCCAGGCCTGCGTACTTAGACTCTTGCTGCACTAAATGAACAATGAATAGTAACCATCTGACGGCCACCTCAATGGAAAGGGGCTGTCCCTGTATCTCTCCAGGTGGCACTTGGAATTAGGAGGTGTTTTAAGGATAGTTTTAAGTTATCTGTAGAGCTTTGTAAAAAGACCTCTGGGCCCTACCCCAAGCCAATAACAACGGTTTCTCTGAGGTGGCAGCATCGATGTAGTTTTTAAAGCATCCAGGTCATGATAGTGTGAAGCTGGGTTGAGACTCACTGGCCTAGGTGGATGCCAAAGGCCTTTTAATGCAAACCTTTCATGAAGATTGGGCCATAATGGAATTGCCTTCTTTTGTGACTAAGACCCAGCATTCTGGAAAAAAAAAACAAAAACAAGAATTAAAAAAACCTAGTGATGGTCGTCTGGGAATGTATTATGAACCATGTAGGGAGAGTGGAATGTTTGCCCATAGATATAGGGTAAGAGGAAGATCCCAAGGGGAGATTATATCATTAAAGAGTTGGCTGAAGATGGGTAGCATGATCCTATATACGGTCTAAAAAAAGCACTTTACCATTACAGGTGGGGATATGAACTGTGGCTTAATAAAGAAGTTACCCTGTGTTTCAATATGAGTGAAATGATATATCATTTAATTTATACCTCACCTCTTTGAGATTTCCCCACAGGACACAGGAGGCAACTATCTGTCCTCAGGATTGGGATGTAAGAAAAAGATGCACCTATGTTGTTGCAAGTATCAAATGAGGACATATCGGTGAGGACTTTTCGCATACTCTAATGCAATATACAAAAATTATATTGTATGCTGATGGGACTTCCCTGGTGGCACAGCAGATAAGACTCTGTGCTCCCAATGCGGGGGGCCTGGGTTCGATCCCTGATCAGGGAACTAGATCCCACACGCATCCCACAACTTAGAGTTCGCATGCCACAACTAAGGAGACTGTGAGCTGCAACTAAGGAGCTGGCAAGCCACAACTAAAGGAGCCCTGGAGCCGCAACTAAGGAGCCCACCTGCCACAACTCCAACCTAATGCAACCAAATAAATAAATGAATATTAAAAAAAAAATATATATATATATATAGTATGTTGATTTTTACATACATTTTTACATAGATGCCTCCGGTTTTATCAAAGACTGTTCTGTATGGATCAAATCATGATACAGCTCTGATATTTCTATCTTGCATAATAAACAGGTTCCTCTGTATTTAAGAAATTTGTTTATGTCATTCATCCACCTAGGAGCTTCAGACTTCATCCTATTCACATGGGCAGGCTTATAAAATATAATATGTATCCAGCTTAAAATAAAAATATTTCCCTCAAATATGAGAACTAAAATTAAGGGAATAGAAAATGCAGTGTTCTCCACTGGGATGCTATTTGCAGCCCCTTTGAGGTACACAGTAGTCATCCATGGTAACTTGGGGCCTTGAGAAAAAGACACTGACTTTCTTTTATTCTGTTTTTCCACGTTCTCTCTTTTACCACTCTGTAGCCCTGAGGAATAACTTGGACGTCAGTTGTTCTTTGACTACTTGAAGGGAAGACAGATTCTATTAAACATTAGAGATGAAGAAATGGTTAGAATTTTGACACAGTAATTATCTAGATTGCCAAAACAAAATACGAATTCTTTAGAATTTATCAAAACAGTATGTCGAGAGTCTTTTTACTTTTTAGAGTAAATATGACACAAGGGGTAGCTTTAGAACAAGCTAACGTTACTAGGATTCAGGCAGGTGCAACTGGTACAGTTCAGTAGTACATAAATGACTCAAACAAATGTACTCTAGACCGGAAACTTAAGTTACAAAATATAGTCAATATTACAATTAATACAGGTGAGTAAAAACCATTGCTCTCAGATTCTGCACACTTAAAAAAAAACCCATGAACTTTATACAATAATCAAAATCACGCATTTCTACTCAAATTATTAGGGCATATTACAAACACACATAAGCCTAAAAAGTTATGGTCACATTTTGGTTTTGTTCCAGTGATGCACAATCACATGAAATGTTCTATCTGTTTCGTGTGAAATAAACATTTGGCTGAAGTGCTATAGCCGCTGAATTAACAATATTTCCATAAAAATGTTCAGACTAAAATAATCCCAAACATCGCAGTGTTTAGGATTATTTTGAGAGTCCTTACAAAGAGTCCTTATGAATCATAGAAATAGAAGCAGTTAGGAAATTTCAGTGTATTTTGTCTGTTTTGTTTTTTTTAACACGAGTAAACAAATACTGGATTTAAAGTGCAGCTTCTTTCTCCTCTCCCTTCGATTCTCCCTCGCCTAGAAGATCAGGTCTGTATTCGTTTTTAGAATCTCCAAGGAAAGTTGGAAACAAATTGAGCGACAGTCAAGTCTGTTTGTCTCGAAAGTCAGTGATGGCTTTCCACAGTGTACACAGCATCCCGCCCCTGTTTAAAGACAAGAACATGGTGAAGAGATCACTTCATTTGAAACAATGCCCTTGAAATATGAAAGTGACTTCTTAGTTTTCAGTGGCTCTGATCAGAACATGAAGATCCCAAAGTCTTATCACTCATTATGTATTCTTTTTGTATATATTTTCTCCTCATCCCTCCATGCCTTTCCTTTCCACTCCCACAGACTACCAGGGCCCAAAGTGTCATTTTAGACATTCTGCACTTTTGAAATGTGTCTTTCTAGAGGTGGGTCAGAGTAATCATTATGTATGTGCTTGGCCTGATGGAAAAAACAAATTATTATAAGAAACTATCAGATTATAGCAGGTATTTGGATGGCAAATCAGTACCTCATCCTGCTATTTCTATTAAGCATGATGCAATCACGAACCAAATTAGAGCATTTGTTTAAGGCAGCTTTAGAATATCTGTATGCTCTTAATCTGATGTGTTATCAAGAAAAGTCTTCCAGCTCACTCTGCATTTACCGATATAGACACATTGCTTATTAGAGCTCCCAATAATAGCCTGCTACAACTAACTCAGGTTTCTCAGAGCAGCTGAGAACTGGAGAGCTTCACCCAGGACTGTAGAGCTAGTTAGAGCTAGGTAGCGACACAGGACGGAAGGGACCCAGGCTTCTTGATCTCAGCCCAGTGCTCTTTCCATCACGATGAGACTGAACAGAAAGAAAAGTGGTACCTTAGTCTCAGGCATTTTAAATCGTCACGTGTAACGTAGTAGAGAACATCTGCGAGTGAATAATCCTCGGCCAAAAACTGTGGAGAAAGTAAAATATGCACGAAAGTAAGATGTTTTATGTACTTTCAATAAGTAGCAAACCAGCCATAATGTAAACATTGGCAAGAACGAAAAAAAAATCTAAAAGGAAATCCACGGAAGACATAAACTTTTGGAATTATTAGAAAACAGGTCCCCCTATTACAAAATAATTACAAAGAAATACATCCATATGCCTTCCAGGAGCAAAAAGATTACAAGCAACACAGAATTTCTGATTGGTCTTGTGATGAATAGATAAGACTTGCTTGTAATTACACCTGCTGCTTATAAGATAATGTTTTTATTCAGGGTTTACTGCTTTGTAGCTTTATTTTTCTCCAGTGGATAAAAAGTGTTGCTTCCACTTAATTTCTGATAAAAGGTACTTTCCGATACTTACTACAAAATCAGAGTCCTGAATTTAAGTGAAGCTTTTAATTCTAAATCTTTTAAGAAGGGCAGTGATTTCAATTACTACTCCTTAATTTTGATTTGAACCTAAGTTAGAGGGAAAAATATTTTGATGAACTTGATTGGATACATTATTTCCCACACGTAAGAGAGTCCTTTAAATTTATTTAATTTGTTATGCAGATTTCTAAGGAGACCCTACATTTTATGTAGTGGTCCAATAAATTATCAAGTCAAGAGAAATACATCTTTATTCTTAGTTGTTTAAAAAATTTAAATATAAAACTGAAATCAATGTAATATTGTACTGAGGCTCTTTCTATAAAACAATAAAAATATAACCTCTTACTATGTATATATGTGTGTACATATTATGTAATCTTAAAACATAAAGAAATGCTATTCATGCTGACTACAAAAGCTCCCCACAGGGAGCAGAGATGAATTAGGTTCTTATAGACATAATATAGTTTATATAGAAAGTGTCTGTTTCTGCCATAAGTTCACGAACTAGTCTAGTTTATTAAGTAGCAATAAATAGCTGCTGCCCAGTGGAGTCTAAGAATGTCACAAGAGAATTAAAAAGTTAACACACAAGAGAAAGAATCAGAAACAGAAGAACTTTTTTCTTTCAGTTCTGTCTTGATTTTTCCTACTCTTTTTTTTTCCCTACTCTTTATTTTCAACTCAAAAACATAAAAATCCTTAGGAGTTCTGGACCACAGCGCTTTCACCTGCCCTGCACATTCTGCACCTCTACCCCCAAATAGTTTTCCCTTCTCATCTGCCCCCCCCCCCCCCGCAGAACATCCACACAGATAGTGTATTCCTACATATTCCTACATATTCCTACATATTCCTTTAGACTTCAGCTCACTGGTCATCTCAAAAAACCTTCCCCAGCTTCTCCCTCCCTCTGTCTCGTAACACTTGATAACCTTTCCTTCACAGAATTGACCGGGACATAATTACACTTGTACCTATGGGATTATTTGATGATCATCTGCCTACCCTGGTCTGTGAGGGCAGGGTTGGGTCTGCATTTCTCACCAGTGTACCCCCTGTGCCTAGCACATAGTAGGCACTCAACATTATGAAACAAAGTGAAAGAATGCTTGTCCCACAGAATGTTTTCTTTACCCGACTTATAGTGTCTTCATCGGCTCCATTTTCTCTCAGCCATTCAGTAAGTTCGGAATCTTCAGTATTTGCGCCAGGAGAATTCAGGTGACACGCAGGCAAACCAGGAATATCTAGAACAGCATTGGGAGGAGGGAAGGACGTTCTTAGCTTCAGCTAACAGAGGTCATCTGAGACCCTCCTGGTCAACATTTATTGATACTTTAAAAGATTTTTCTCTATCAGAGTATAATTAATAGAAACCATTGAGATTGGTAGTCTACATGACAATATAAATAAAACTCTTTAACACTGCTTACTATACTAGTAAATGGAGAGTCAGTGACAATAATTAATGATACTCCCACCTTATAGTTTCATATCAATTTTATAGCTTCGTAGAATAAAATGGTACACCAAAATTGTACTGTGTGTTTTTCATGCAACAAAGATGAGCATGATTAGCAGAGCGCCATATAATTATAATAATCTCTTTTTCCACTATTTGCAATAATATGGAAGGACCATATATCTGAAGAAAAAAAATATGAACTTTATTTTCCTCTAAACAGGCTAAATAAGATTGTCTAAAGATTATCTTTCATACCCAATTTCTCACAGAATAGATTTCGTCAAAGTTCCATCTGACTTTTTTAAAAAATTGAGATAAAATTGACATATAACATTGTATTAGTTTAAGGTGTATCCAACTTATGACTTTTTATTACTGTATCTTGATTCTGTTTAAGCCTTGTCAAGTTATAAGGGGGGTGGGAACACTAGAAAACACAGAATACAAATGCAAAATGACAAAAAATATTATTTTATTCTAGTAATTTCATTGTGAAATCTTAAAAA